TTAATATGTTTGCGATGTTACTTTGAGTGCATATCCACACCGGGCGAGCTTGAAAAATATGCCCGGCCACGGTGGGATTCGAACCTACGACCTTTGGAATACTAGCCCAATGCTCTTCCAACTGAGCTACGCGGTCAGGACGGTTCGAGTAAGTAATATTTCGGAACAGTATCTAGTTCCTTCAATACCAATGTGTTCTAGTAATATGATTTTTTTCTGTGTTGGTGTTGTGTACTCAGGTGAATAATATGTTTGCGATGTTACTCTGAGTGAAAATATGCCCGGCCACGGTGGGATTCGAACCTACGACCTTTGGAATACTAGCCCAATGCTCTTCCAACTGAGCTACGCGGTCAGGACGGTTCGAGTAAGTGATATTTTGGAACAGTATCTAGTTCCTTCAATACCAATGTGTTCTAGTAATATGAATTTTCTGTGCTGGTGTTGTGTACTCAGGTGAATAATATGTTTGTGATGTTACTCTGAGTGCATATCCACACCGGGCGAGCTTGAAAAATATGCCCGGCCACGGTGGGATTCGAACCTACGACCTTTGGAATACTAGCCCAATGCTCTTCCAACTGAGCTACGCGGTCAGGACGGTTCGAGTAAGTGATATTTCGGAACAGAATCTAGTTCCTTCGATACCAATGTATTCTAGTAATATGAATTTTTTCTGTGTTGGTGTAGTGTACTCAGGTGAATATGATATTTGTGGTGTTACTCTGAGTGTATATCCACACCGGGCGAGCTTGAAAAATATGCCCGGCCACGGTGGGATTCGAACCTACGACCTTTGGAATACTAGCCCAATGCTCTTCCAACTGAGCTACGCGGTCAGGACGGTTCGAGTAAGTGATATTTCGGAACTGAATCTAGCTCCTTCGATACCAATGTATTCTAGTAATATGAATTTTTTTCTGTGTTGCTGTAGTGTACTCAGGTGAATATGATATTGTGGTGTTACTCTTAGTGTATATCCACACCGGGCGAGCTTGAAAAATATGCCCGGCCACGGTGGGATTCGAACCTACGACCTTTGGAATACTAGCCCAATGCTCTTCCAACTGAGCTACGCGGTCAGGACGGTTCGAGTAAGTGATTTTTCGGAACAGAACCTAGTTCCTTCGATACCAATGTATTCTAGTAATATGAATTTTTTTCTGTGTTGGTGTAGTGTACTCAGGTGAATATGATATTTGTGGTGTTACTCTGAGTGTATATCCACACCGGGCGAGCTTGAAAAATATGCCCGGCCACGGTGGGATTCGAACCTACGACCTTTGGAATACTAGCCCAATGCTCTTCCAACTGAGCTACGCGGTCAGGACGGTTCGAGTAAGTGACATTTCGGAACAGAATCTAGTTCCTTCGATACCAATGTATTCTAGTAATATGTTTTTTTTCTGTGTTGGTGTAGTGTACTCAGGTGAATATGATATTTGTGGTGTTACTCTGAGTGTATATCCACACCGGGCGAGCTTGAAAAATATGCCCGGCCACGGTGGGATTCGAACCTACGACCTTTGGAATACCAGCCCAATGCTCTTCCAACTGAGCTACGCGGTCAGGACGGTTCGAGTAAGTGATATTTCGGAACAGAATCTAGTTCCTTCGATACCAATGTTTTCTAGTAATATGATTTTTTTTTTTCTGTGTTGGTGTAGTGTACTCAGGTGAATATGATATTTGTGGTGTCACTCTGAGTGTATATCCACACCGGGCGAGCTTGAAAAATATGCCCGGCCACGGTGGGATTCGAACCTACGACCTTTGGAATACCAGCCCAATGCTCTTCCAACTGAGCTACGCGGTCAGGACGGTTCGAGTAAGTGATATTTCGGAACAGAATCTAGTTCCTTCGATACCAATGTTTTCTAGTAATATGATTTTTTTTTTCTGTGTTGGTGTAGTGTACTCAGGTGAATATGATATTTGTGGTGTTACTCTGAGTGTATATCCACACCGGCCGAGCTTGAAAAATATGCCCGGCCACGGTGGGATTCGAACCTACGACCTTTGGAATACCAGCCCAATGCTCTTCCAACTGAGCTACGCGGTCAGGACGGTTCGAGTAAGTGTTATTTCGGAACAGAATCTAGTTCCTTCGATACCAATGTTTTCTAGTAATATGATTTTTTTTTTTTTTTCTGTGTTGGTGTAGTGTACTCAGGTGAATATGATATTTGTGGTGTTACTCTGAGTGTATATCCACACCGGGCGAGCTTGAAAAATATGCCCGGCCACGGTGGGATTCGAACCTACGACCTTTGGAATACTAGCCCAATGCTCTTCCAACTGAGCTATGCGGTCAGGACGGTTCGAGTAAGTGATATTTCGGAACAGTATCTAGTTCCTTCAATACCAATGTGTTCTTGTAATATGATTTTTTTTTTTCTGTGCTGGTGTTGTGTACTCAGGTGAATAATATGTTTGTGATGTTACTCTGAGTGCATATCCACACCGGGCGAGCTTGAAAAATATGCCCGGCCACAGTGGGATTCGAACCTACGACCTTTGGAATACTAGCCCGATGCTCTTCCAACTGAGCTACGCGGTCAGGACGGTTCGAGTAAGTGATATTTCGGAACAGTATCTAGTTCCTTCAATACCAATGTGTTCTTGTAATATGAATTTTTTTCTGTTCTGGTGTTGTGTACTCAGGTGAATAATATGTTTGTGATGTTACTCTGAGTGCATATCCACACCGGGCGAGCTTGAAAAATATGCCCGGCCACGGTGGGATTCGAACCTACGACCTTTGGAATACTAGCCCAATGTTCTTCCAACTGAGCTACGCGGTCAGGACGGTTCGAGTAAGTGATATTTCGGAACAGTATATAGTTCCTTCAATACCAATGTGTTCTTGTAATACGAATTTTTTCTGTGCTGGTGTTGTGTACTCAGGTGAATAATATGTTTGTGATGTTACTCAGAGTGCATATCCATACCGGGCGAGCTTGAAAAATATGCCCGGCCACGGTGGGATTCGAACCTACGACCTTTGGAATACTAGCCCAATGCTCTTCCAACTGAGCTACGCGGTCAGGACAGTTCGAGTAAGTGATATTTCGGAACAGTATCTAGTTCCTTCAATACCAATGTGTTCTAGTAATATGAATTTTTTCTGTGTTGGTGTTGTGTACTCAGGTGAATTTAATATGTTTGCGATGTTA